TATAATATTCTAAATTTACAATATTAATAATATAAATTTCGAAATATATTATAATATAAATATATAATAATATAATATACTAATAATATATGATTATATATTTATATTATATAATATATATAAATATAAAATGTATAAATTATAAAAGAGAGAATTTAGTAGAGATTAAGAGAAATTAAGAGAGAGATTGATGAGTGAATTAAAAAATAGGGGAGTATTTATCGGTAAAAAATACCCCCCCCCCCCTCCCCTCCAAACGGCTAGAGAGCCGTCGGAAGCGCTCCCCACGGCCCCCCACTGTCATCAAGCCAACAAAAGGAACAAAACAAATCAAAATTGGACCAGAACTGGTACCGGTACCGACGATTCCGATCACAAAAAATAAACACTGGAACCGGTACCGTGGCGAACGGTTCCAGAACCGGTTCCCCGTACCATGTCGCCGTCTTTGTCCCCGGTCCCAGTGGCAAAACCACCGGTACCGGCACTGGTTCCATACCGGGACTTTGTTTAGCTCTACCGTTACCCCTCATGGTTTCAAAACTTACATCGTTGCCTCTCATGGTTCTGATATTGCTACGCCAATGCCCATATACACAAAAATATCCTTCAAATATTAGGTGAATAACTACGCTGTCCCCTATGGTTTTGGAAATGGGCGCCAACGCCCCTCTCCTTTTTCTTTATTGTTTTTCTTTTTTCTTTTCTTTTTTTCATAAAGAGAATAAAAATGTTTGCGTGTGAAATAATGAAAAATTGTTTTTTCAAGCCTGCATTTTTAAAAAAGTTTTAAAAAATTAAAAAATGTTTGTGTTTGAAATAAAAAATTTAACATATACGCAGTACTTCATTTGTCAAATTAAACATTTTCATTTTTTGTCTAAAAAAGTTTTTATCTTTTTGAATATGTCGGGACCAAAAGAATACTGAGTAACATCTTTTTAATATAAATTTAATTATATATTAATAACAGTTTTTGGACCAATGCCCAAAAGATTTCCTTCATGACTTAATTTTTTTATTCTATAAAAGTATTTTTTTAATATACTTTTCTTTTTCTTTATTTTCTTTTCTATAATTTTAATTTTGATTAAAATAAAAGAAACGGTATAAAATTAATGAATAAAAAATAAGAAATGAGCTATAGTTAAAAAAGAGATTTTTTATTGGTTTTCATATCATGAAAATGAACCTAAAAAGACCTCTTTCGGACAAAAAAAATAATGTGTTTAATTTGAGATAAATGAAGTGTATGTTAATTGTAATTATTTAATTGCTTTTATTACAAACACAAAAAAATAGATTATTAAAACATTATAAAAATAATTTTAAAAAAGAAATTAAAAAATTTATGAAAAAAATAGTAAAAAAAGAAAAACAATAAAGAAAAGAGGAGGCGTTTGTGCCAATTTTCAAACCATATGGGATAGTGAAGCTATTCACATAACATTTGAAGGATGTTTTAGTCTAGAGGGGCTTTGGCGTAGCAATTTCGGAACCATGATAGACAATGACGTAAGTTTTAAAACCATATGAGGTAACGAATAACGATGCACATTTACTAAATCGCAGGGGGTCATGATACAATAAACTCGTGCGTGGAACGAAAGGAAAAAAACACTGAGAAAACGACTGCATAAGACGCGTGCTCTCTAAAATAATAATGGCAATATCAATTTTTTGACATAGAAGAGAGCTATTTGACTACACCCAGGCAAACAAATGACACCACGGCCCTTCACTCCTTTAGTCACACGAGCTTTTTTGGCCGCCAAAGATTCAGCGCACCCAATCTCACAACAGTGACGTTTTCCCAAAGTTTTACACCGATCCAACTTGCTTGTCCGTCAATCTCAAGACTTATGGCATATAGGGAATTAGATACTATGCTTATGTCAACTCCCATCCGTACAAAACATGAGTTAGCATATTCTCTTCCCACATGTTAATCACATGTTGCATGTGGTCAGTGGTATTCACATACAGGATTCTTGGTGAAAGATCAATGGTCTTGTAGTCTTTTTCTAGTGAAAGAGATCAATACTCTTGCATATATATGGTTTCTAAATCTTTTGGGTTGTCCCATTTATGAACAACATATTAAGTGGTTATTGGATTGCCCTCACCATTCATTGGCGGATTCAATTATTCAAATGAATGGTTTTTCAAGCAAGCATTAGAACGATATATAAACTTGCATTATGAATAAAAAAAGATCACAAAAAAAGGAGGAAAGTACACAATTTCACTTGAAGGAGAGAACCCACTCATAAATGTAAACAAGAAAAGAACCCATATTCAATTTCAAGAAAAATACCAATGTTCTCTTTAACAATAACCAAAAACTAGATACCACTGCTCATACTCTTTAGGAAACTAAACATTCAAAGGGGAAAGAACAGAAATGAAAAGCCATATAGAAAAAGCTAAGAAGAGGTAAAATGACTTCTGGAATATCATCTTCAATTCACGGTGGGTTTACTGTGGGTTTGGCGGCCTGCTGTTAGCGGCAGAGACCCTCGAACCCCATTCGAGCAGCTCTTTGCTAGTGTCATCCTTGTGAGCAATCACCTCAATGAAGCACAGGCTGTCTTTCTTCTCTTCGGTCGCTGTCTTGATCGCTTCAACCAGCTCATCTTCGAAACGGACCTGCTCCACCATTAATACAAAGATTTTAACTCGCCTCCGTGGAATTAATCTTTGACATTGAAAAACAAGCATTTGACTATGCAATGTGACTCACCTTGGTTGTCCAGCAATTGCCATCGCCGTTGTGGATTGCATCAACCAGGGCAGTGTAGTTCCAGTTCTTGATCACGTTGTACGGTCCATCGTGGATTTCAACCTCAATGGTGTACCCGCCGTTGTTGATCAGGAAGATTATGCTCTTCTGGCCGCATCTCAGCATTGTTGACACATCCTGGGCAGTCACCTACAAGTGTTTCCCGCAATGCCATTATCATTACGAAGCAGGAATGTCACAAATTGTCATCATCATACAAGTGTCACCGATTCATATTGAGTACAAACTTTAATGTATAATGTCTACAAGGTTTACGAAAAAACAGGGTAGATTGTCATCATTTTTACCTGAAAGCTGCCATCCCCGATGCAAGCAATCACCCGCTTCTCCGGGGTGGCCTGAGCATAACCAAGGGTCGCGCCAACAGACCAACCGATAGACCCATACTGCATTTGGAACTCATACCTGTCATGCAAGACAAATCTAATAATGTGAATAAGCTATGGAGTTGAATTAGTGCTAGATTTGAATTTGAATTATTATCAGTAGTAAATAAAGAAGCTCACCCGCATCCTTGGGGCAATTTCAGCTTCTGGCAATTGAACCAGGAGTCCCCTGTCTCAGCAATAACAGCAGTTTCGCCACTCAACATCTTCTGAATGTGGTGGAAGAGAACATTCACCCTCAATGGCTCTTTGGGCTCACACTTGATAGGGCACCCATCAGGAACATAAATCCTCTGGTAATTCTCATAGGCAGTCTTGTTGTGCTTGAGTCTCTTACCCAGAGCAGAGAGGAAATCTTTCATCAACACACACCCAAACGCAGGCCCATTCCCAATCGTGACACGATCCGGCTGAACCACAATGGCCTTCTCTTTCTTGAGAAGCAGAGAGTAGCCGACAGATGAGTAGTCGTTGAATATGGGTCCGGCGAACAAGTAGGCATCAGCGGACTCAACAATTTCTGCACAGAAAGCGGTGCTAACTGCGCCCCAATAAGTTCCTATGAAATGGGGGTGCTCTTCAGGAACTAATCCCTTGGCCGAGGGCATGACCGCTAGGGGATAGCCACAAGCATCTGCCAACTCCACAAATGATTTGCAGGCTTTTGCTGCGCGCAATTTCGGCCCTCCCACCATGATTGGCTTCACAGCCTTGTTCAGGAACTCCGCTGCAGCTTCCACAGCTGCTTCCAATCCCATCTGGTTACTCAACCTACAGTTAACCCACCCCCAAAACAGCCAATCCATCATCAAACACAACCAGATCAAATAGGAATATCACCAAGCTCATATAATTAGCGTCAATGGAGTACTCCGTGATTAATGACAGAGAGATTATTAAGAAATCAAAAACCAGTACACACCTTGGAGACAATGAAAACGGAACCGGTTCACGGCTAAAGGTGGGATGAGGAATAGCTGATAGGTTACAGCTTATGCTTATGTAAACCGGCTTGCTCTCCTTCAACGCCGTGGATATCGCAGTGTCGATCTGCTCGTGCGCATCCTCCAAATTGTTCACCACGGCCTAGAAGCAATTGCGAATTGGAAGTTAGAATTTAATCACGATTTACTAGGGATTTAGATCGAATGAGCTATGGATCATGGCGGATGCATTTCCGAAGCAGCATGGAGAGGAGAGTTGGAATGATTCGAAATCAAACCTGATAGCAAGTGACGGTCTGGAAGCAGCGGAGCTCCTGGCTGAAATCGGGCAACCCGATAGTGTGGTGGAGGATCCGGTTGGTGCCATAGTCGTTGGAGTTGGGGCCGCCAACAATGCATATCACAGGGAGGTTCTCACTGTAGGCGCCGGCGATGGCGTTGAGGATGCTGAGGCCGCCGACAGTGAACGTGACGGCGCATGCACCGACTCCGCGAGACCTCGCGTAGCCGTCCGCCGCGTAGCCGGCGTTGAGCTCGTTGCAGCACCCGACGAGGTTGAGCCCGGGCTCGTCAATGAGATGGTCGAGGAGCGTGAGGTTGAAGTCGCCGGGGACGGCGAAGACGTCGCTGACGCCGACTTGGACGAGGCGGCGGGCGAGGTGGCGGCCGAGCGTCGCCTCGGCGGAGTTGAAATGGACGGAGGAGCCGTGGAGGGTGGTCGCACCATTGGATGGGGCGTTCCCCAGGTCGTTGCTTCTCGGCTTACACGTGTCGAGAGATCCGATCTTTGTGTCCATGGCTGATCACAGATTTGAAGGTAAAAAAAAAAAGGGGAATCTGAATTTACCGACTCTTTTTTTTATTTTACCGGAGTTGTAGGGAATGAATGAGAACGAAGAAGAAATGGGAGGCCTATTTATATCCGTGGGTGAATTGGAGAAGAAGAAAAAGATGATTTAAAACAAGGGGCGGTTTTAAATTGCAATTACTGATGGCGATTTTTGCGGATTTTATTCTCTAATGCGCGGTCTTCATACTCCGTATGTATTCTTTACTGCTACACTATTGTTGATTAAGGAAATTCGAACTTGCTTGCCGCTTCTTTTCATGGCCATTCTGATTTACTTTCCTCTTTTTAAAAAATTAAAATTAAAACTAGAGGAGTATAAGAAAATAAAAATACAAAAATTAAATGAGTTTTTTTAGAAAAGCTGTATGATTATTTCTAATTCTTAATATTCTATGACCTTAAACGCTTTAAAATGTTATCAAAAGGTAACTTTTAACGTTAGTGTTTTATAAAATTATTATACGGAGTACATCATTAGAGTTTATGCAAAATGCTAGCAGTCTAACGCTAATAAAAAACACTCTTCCTAAATAGGACCTTTATGTAATTGTGTCTAACACAAAAGCAACACTTTTACTTTAAAGAAAATGTTATTTAACCAGTCCCGCTACATTTTCAATTTCATCTATCCTGAAAAAAGATTTCTCGTTATACTTTAAAAATTATTTTGTTAATATTAATATTTCTCTTTCATCTATGTCATTTTAAATCATACAATTTTACTTATATTAATCTCTATAGCTAGTAAATTGTGGACAATATTGCAAAACACAAAGATAGTATTACCTTTGTCCTAATGTATTTATTTATTTTAACTTTTACGCATCAAACTGGACAAATTTGAGTTTAAATTAATATCAATTTGTATTACATATTAATATAATAAAATAAAACTTTAAAAATTCTCAACAAAATAAATATACTAAAATCATTTTTATACCAATATACTCATTATAATCTTTGTTTAATTGACTCAAAAAAGTTAAACTGCAAAAATACATTGAGACTGAGACAGAAAGAGTATATAATTATTCTCATTTTATTTTAACCATAAAATTTTAACTTTTTAATACAAGTAAAGTTCTATTATAAAATCTTATTTTAGGTACCTAAACTCCTAAGGGGTAATAAATGCAAGAAAAAAAATCGAAATTTGGTTTTTTTCACATTACATAATATTGTTTGCTTGCTGAAAAAGTTAAGGCTGTAAAAGTTAAAAACTACGTGTTACGGGGTATATAAGGTAATGTCTAAAATATTACTCCCTCTGTTCTCAAAAACACTTCCTCTTTCATTTTTTCCACTTCCAACAAAACACTTCCCCTTTTTATTAAAAAACCACTTTTACCCTTAGTTTTTCATACCCTACCTATCACATCATACTTTTTCTCTAATAATTTATCCATCACATCTTACTTTTACCCATCACATCAGGGGAAAAATTGGAAATCAACTATAATTTAACACTTCCTTATTTTTGCCCTAAATCAAATGGGAAGGGTTTTTCCAAACGGAGGGAGTATAATTTATGAAATCATTTTATTTACAAATTAGTATATCAATAAAATATAAAGATTACAGGTTAAAAAATTACATCAAAAATTTTATAAAATAAGAGGCGACAAGACTATTTTATTTTATCAAATAATCAATGGAAACCCACAAACAAACAAAAGTTATCGAGAAGAGAGTAAAAATAAAATTGTAATCGGATGGAGTATGTGTTTGTCTTGGTATGTAATGCATGTGGTCCCTAAGTATTTTTCGTAATTAAATATCTCCGTCCTTCTCAAAAAATATCTTTGTCCTTAGATTACCATCCCCTTTACCTTGATGTCGCTGGACCACAATATCTCGGTTTTGAATTAATTCTCACATATTATGAGGTTTGACTGAGATTATTTTTAATCTAATTTATATAATTAATACGTAGTACTTTTTAGCATAAAGTTTCAAAATAAAATTTAAAGAGTAAATTCCATAAATAATACTCCGTACTTTATAAGAATGGGTTTCTATATTTAGTCTCATATTCTACGGATGGATATTTGGCCCAACGAAATATAGAATCGGCCCAACAAGTTATTACGTTAATCTGACTGGCATTTATGCAGAGTGGGCCGAAGGGGGTGGTCGTTTAAGACATTGGGCTTGGGCCATGAACTAGCTAACAAGAGATGGTCAATCTCACGGATTGTGGTTGATTGATAGCTGATTCTTTGCCCATAATTACCGCCCATCAGATCAATTGTGACAAGAAACCTGGACAACGATTGATTACCATAAACATTTCTATGTGAACTATAAATATACAATGAAACCTCCTCTGTAAACCAAAGCCGAACTAAGCCAATACAAACAATATCAAGATCATGGCTGGTGAGATGTGATTTGCATGGCCAAACAGCATTCCAGACCACTGCTAGAGAGCCTCTATGATGACGAGGACATCGAAAAAAGAGCGTGAGGCGGTCGTCTAGCGTTTCGATGCCCAAATCATCTAGAACTAGAGAGGAAAACAAACCACGGCCCACAGGGAGTCCCGAAACGATCCCCGGAAAATGATTCGGATAGACGAAGAACCTCGGGGTACCAACCAATCACGTAATGTGGGAACGCGAAACCCGAGGGTGAAGGTGTCCGAGAGGTTGTCGCACTGGCGGATCTTTGTAAACGAAAGGTTGGGACCATACTCTAGGGAAATTCCTAGTGAGCAGATCCAACCACATGCTAACCAGGTTGAGCTCTCATATAGGGTAGCCCCTTACGCAGGTCAACTTAGGGGCCGCACGTAGAAACCCCATGTTTAGATCATCAGTGACGAAGCCAAAGTAAAAAGTCAGCCTAGGATTCTGGCTCAAATTTCAGATTTTGAATTTTATAAACATTCAATTGGTCAAAACCTTTCCAAATCACCTTCCAAGGACTCCTTAATCTTTTCCACTATAAATATAGCTTTAATCCTTCATTTTAAACAAGAACTCAAGCTCCAAACATCCTACTTTTATATTTCAAGTGTGTTTACTCCTTTATTCTTAATTCTTCATATTTTGGCTATTTTAAGAGCCTCATTCTTCTGATTTTTATACGCACACTTTGAGCTTGTGTTTCAGTTATATGCTCTCGTATTCATAAGTTTATGTTGTATTTTTGAGAGAGTAAAATTTTGTTCTACACCGGCTAAGTCTTGTTCTTCATTTTTGTATTCAAGTCGTTGTGTAGAACCATTTCTTGTGTTCTTCAAACACATTTTTTACGGTCAAGAATAGCTATTAAATTCTTACGTTCTAACGGTCGGGGATAGCCGTATAAATCTTTGGGTAGAGGTTCAATGATAGACTCTGAAATCCTTGTGGAAATGGTAGAAGATAGCCATTAAATCTTTGTTGTAAGCAATTCGAGATAGCCATTGTAAAATCTCGGAGTGAATCCTATTGGGAAGGGTGGTTTGCCAAAACTAGTGTGGTGCTTTGACGAAGTTCAAGAGACCGAGATTTAGTGGATTCGGAAATCCTTGAGGATGAGCCTCGAGGTACTGGAGTAGGGAGTTTCTAAACCAGTATAAAACCGGTGTGCATTTTATTTACGCTTTTATTTCTGCATTTTATATATTATTTCTACATTTGACAACACCGTTTTTATTAACCTCCGAAAAGTTTTCAAACGCCTTATACACCCCTCCCCTCTAAGGCGTGGGTACAACGACTAACAGATTGAAGATGGTGTTGCCCATAAGACCCACAAGAGGTGAGGTTGATGCGGATGAGAGCACCGAGTTATGTTGTACGAGAGGGGACCTTGTACAAAAGGTCTTATAATGGAATGTTGATTCGTGTTAGAATATAAATAACTCTTCTTAGGCCACAACCACAAGCTTGAGCTTTTGGTTGAGTTGGTTCCTTGACATGGTATCAGAGCCTTGTTGACTAAGAGGTCATAGGTTCGAAACTCAACGCCACCCAGCTTAAAAAAATTAAGGTTTCACGTGCAAGGCTCGAAAAAAGACTATGCCTGCACGTGAGGGGGCGTGTTAGAATATAAATAACTCTTCTTGGGCCACAACCACAAGCTTGAGCTTTTGGTTGAGTTGGTTCCTTGACAATTCGATTTCTTTTGCCGTCCGAGGCAAGATTGTTGAGTAAAGAGATCAATGACGGAACTTGCATGGCGCACCAGGGACGTATTCTATCTCCAGGGCCATTATTCAGGGTTATATATGGCCAACCATGAGAAAGGATTGCAAAAATATGTTTGGAAATGCCCTATTTGCCAGTATTTCCACAATATATCGCAAGGCCTACTATAAATCATACCATCATCGGCAGAGTGATCTCTTTTTCCAAGTGGGATTTGATCTCGTTGGAGTTTTGCCCATAGGCAAGGGATAAGTGTGTTGGGCCGTGGTCGCTGTTGATTATTTTACTAACAGCCTGTTCTTTAGGACTTAAACTCTTAACTTCCAGTTTCTTCCAGTTCTTTCCAATTCCTTCTAGTTCTTTCTAATTTCTTACAGTTCTTCCAGTTTCTTCTAGTTTTTTCCAGGTCCTACTAGTTTTTTCCAATTTCTTCTAGTTTCTTCCAACTATTTTTATTTTTTTCAAACTCTTTCTATTTTCGGATCAATTATTCTAAAAAGATATATTATTGTTATTATTATTATTATTATTACATTTATTATGTTCATAACTATAGTTCATAAATTATTTCATTTCTAACATCTCACTATTTTTATTATTCACACTGATCACATTATGACATTTTGTGACATATCTAATATTTAAAACAAAATCTTGTAATACATAAAGTATAATTACAAATATATTATTTTATGATAAATACTGCATAAATAAAGTGTCATGCAGCGTAACCACAATAAATTTTAAATATTTAACATTTTGATATTTATGTTAATTCTATATTCTGATTACTTGTTTTGTAAAAGTAATTTTTTTGTATGAAAAATAGCAATATTTTTTTTATCTTAAAGGCATTCATTAAGATAAATTGATGACAAGAACAACTTTATAATCACAAGAATTAGAATGAGAATAATATAAAAATATATTTAAAAAGTTTTTTTTAATTTTTTTTAGATTTTCCCATTTTTTCTAGTTTTGTCAATTTCATTTA